CCCCCTTTGTCTATTCTCTATTTGTACACTCATCATCATCTTTTCTTTCTCCATCACAACATATATTTAATATCATACAACCAAATTTTGTATTCAATCAAAATTCAATATAATATAATAGACTCACTAAATAAATTTCTACACAAAATTTAATAACACCACGATACATTTATTCAAGCAATATATGCATGAAGTCAATTTCGAATTTAATTAATATCTCATATCATAGTGAGAACCAATATGATTCATTCGTCTAGGTAGATCAACGGTTGACAATTGTTAGAATATAAAGGAAAAAAGGTGAGTTCTCTTTATAAATATTGAAAACTTTAAAGTTTTTAATAATTATAAAATTGACTTCGTATTTTTTTATATTAAAACTCTCAACCATTAATAAATCCTGATGGGAGGCTGAGATCAATCCTCACTTTTTAGAGAAGAATCATGTTCTCATTTGATCCTACCCATATATATAGGTTGAGTTCCGATGCGAACAGGTCTTCAATTGCAAACGTGCGGATGCACGACACGCAATTATAAATGCACAATGAAGCATTTATAAATGCACCATCAAACATTTTCAAATGCACCAAATTTGATAATCAATGAGAATTAGGCCAAACATTTCTAAAATGCACTATCAAGCATTTACAAATGCACTGTCAAGCATTTACAAATGCACCATCAAGCATTTTCAAATGCATCAGAGTAGACAATCAATGAGAATTAGGTAGTGCTCGCTGCATTTGGAAATACTTTACAGTACATTGATAATTGATTGACACTTAAATATGCAAATATGTAACAACTAAATATGCAAATCGGGATAAATTTTAAAAAATCAATGAAAACGCAAAATTTTAAATCTAAACTATAAATGTTAGACCCTAAGCAATAAAAAGTGAACCACTAAACCAAAAAACTCAGTCAAACTCTAAAATTGAAATCCTAAGTGTAATGCACTTTCGCATTTTTGCAAGTGCAATATTTTAATACTAAATGTGCAAACCTAGAAAATTCTTAGAAGTACAGATTTTAGTGTTAAAGTTTGCATAGTAAAGTTAGTGGTAATTACGAAAATGTCACCATATTTTTTTAATCTGATCTGGCCCATTCGATTTTTTCAAGTGAATTTTCTCCTAAAGACTTGTTCTCATATGATCCAATACACACATATATATTCAAAGAGTTAATTCCAATAATGGTCCCCGAGTATGATGATTTTTCACAATTGATCCTTGACTTTTAATTTGGACAATTTAATCCCCCGACTATCAAATTCTTTCTAATTGAGGTCCTTCTGTTAATGTTAGGTTAAGTTGACGTCTATTTAAGGGCTAAAACCGTCCTTTCCCTTACAGCCTTACTCAGCGTATATTATTACCGCCGACAGTCTGTTCTCCGGTGAAGGTACATCACAACCCTGCAGATAATATCTTGTGGGAGAAGATAAATACATTAATATCAGTCCGTTTCTTTCCCAATGCAGTAAAGGTAAAATAAAGCATCATCGTACAAATTAAAATAATTTGCGTACATCAACGAAGCAGTCGTGGAAGAAGAGACGAATGAGGGAAGCACCCATGCGAGCTTCTGCATTAATGGCAGCGACCACTACTTCCTTAACGGCCGAGAATACACACGCTTCATCGGCAAGCATACTGCCGGAGAGTTTCCCAAGACCAAGCAACAACAGGTTGGTCGACTGTTGTTACGCCGGAGTCCGCTACTGGAGGGTAAAGCTACTACCTTTGCTGAAGGTCGAGGAGGGCCAACACTTGGGTGCTGGAGCCCGGGGACGAAGCGTACGGCGCCGTCGGCCCGTCATTTTCCTCTTCGCTCTGGTGTCAAATTCCGGCGCGCTCGTCGATAACCGACTGCCGATTTCCCAAAGGATCGTTCGAGAGAAGTCAGAATTACACATTCTTAAGATCTAGTAATGCTGACCCCTAATAAGGAGCATCTGGCGAAAGGCATACAATGAAAAATTGGTAAGGGGCCAATCTTTCAGTCTGATGTAATGTAAGTTCTGGGAATTTTGAAAGCTTTCCAAGGGAACTGCGACCCTTGGAAAAAAAATTGTAGTCTCAAAATCCCAACTATTGTCAGGTTTGCTGCATCTCTGCACTACAATACTACAAAATCAAATGAAAATTTCTTATAGTTCAGCAGTAGTGTGTTCTCTAATCTCTCACTGGTAAACCCCAATCTTTGCAGTAGTTATAGTTGATAGAAGATTAGCACTTCACTAGTCTGCATTGTTTTGTGAGTATATTATATCAGCATAACAATATGCAATGCCACTCTAGAAATGATCGAAGCGAGGGGAACACCCAAAAGCAACACTCAGGAATCTCGAAATTTATTTTATTCATATACTTGTGCTCTGTTTTATATATGCCGGATACAACATTGGGGGAATGGAGATGAAGATGAAATATACCCTTAGGAGGGAAAGGACACTTTTACCCCTTGTTTTGACGTCCAATTAATCAAGATTTAACGGAAGGACCGCAATTGGAAAGATTTTAATAGTCAGATGGTTAAATTGTCAAAATTAAAAGTCGAGGACTAATTATGGAAAATCACCATACTCGGAGGACCATTGCTGGACTTAACTCTATATTCAAATAAGAACAATTCTTTAGGTAAGAACTAGTAACCCATCCTGACCCTTTATTCCGTGTGATCTATGATATATGTATTTAAAGTTGATTTTCATAGGTTTTTGTGCAGAATTAGGATTGATTTATATGCTTAGAAGGTAAGCAAGGGTATTTTAGTCTTTGTGTGCGTTATTCATCATTCTTTTCCTGAATTTCTCTCCACATAATCTTCCCTCTCTCCTTTGCGTACTCTTTTTCGAACTGTAGTACCAAAACCCTCTATTGACCCTTGTTCTCTTCTCTCTAGTCACGACTACATTTCGCTGATTAACGCCACACAGGCCCCGCAAGCACTCTTGCCGTTCAGGTCACCGGAGGCGCTGCAGTTCAACAAGGTGTCTCCCAAATCAGAGGTGTACTAAATTGCCTCGAAATAGTCATCATGGAAGTCGTCACCGGTATGTTTCCGTCGGAGTATTTGAACAACGGGAGGGGGGCGGGACCGACGTGGTGTATTTGATAGTTGAAGGACCATCGATGGTTAACTTGGACCACGGATGGTAACAATTTAAAAGTTGAAGGACCACGGGTGGTCAATTTAAAAGTTTAGGACTAAACGTGACAAAATCACTATACTCGGAGGACCTCAGATTGTATTAACTCAATGAAGTTTTTATGGTCTCAAAATTGGTATAATACATCTAGCAGAATTAATATTTTTATATACATGAAAACAAAAAGTTAATAGAAAAAATAACGTATAGAAATTTAGAATAGAAAATATTTAATGCATCGCCAGTGTATAGCACCTATACATCGGGAATAAACAAAAATGTGACACTTCATTAAAAGTAAAGTCAAAGTTGACCAAGTCCCTTTTAGAAAATTATAATAATTAGTAACATATTATGATTACTAATTAATTAGTTAATTTAAAACTAATTATTTAATCTAATTAACATACACTAAATAATCCAATACAATGTTTAGGATTTTAAGGTGGAGGAGCACGCGATGAGGTGATGTTGCTTATGTTGTCGTTCGACATCGAAAAACAACCCTTTGGGAATTTAAGCCCCCAATAGTTCAAGATTCTCGACGTGGTTGTGCCTCTTCACCTGCCACAATGGGAAGAGCTTGAGTGAAGGAACAATGGAATGCACGAGTTGGGTCTAAGCTAAACTCCATAAGAAAAAAACTGCAAAAATGATACAAAATTTAAAAATTACCGAAAAACTGAGAGAGGGAGATGAATGCATACCATGAAGAAGAGCATATAAGCTTTCGGCAAACATGTAATCAAAGACTAACAATTTCTCATCTTTTGAAAAGTAAAATGCTCTTAGTGGAAGCACATTCTCATTTTTCAACTTCCCTAAAACTTCCAATTACTTCTCAAACTCTTTCCAGCTAACCGCCATGTCTTTCAACCTCTTCACCACCACCGTCGTTCCCTCCTCCAACACTGGCTTGTAACTAGTTCCGACGCTGCCTTTCCCTAGAACCTCAGTTGATGCCCTCAACAGGTCCTCCAAATTGAAATTGTAGGTTCCGCCGTCAAAGAACACTGGCTTGTTCATCTCCCCTTCGACTAACCCTCCTATGATGTCATCCTTTTATGATGACATTCCGGCTTCTTCCGTTGCCCCGGAGGTTACCGCCGCCGCACTGGTGATCGTCGAAGGATTCTGAGTTTTTTTATGCCTCCACTGTTTTCCTACTTTTTCGTAGATAGAGAAAGAGGATGAGTAAGAAGAGGGGAAATGCGACTATTGAGCCAACTACAATTCTGACAATGGCAGCTGCTTGTTGGATTTCCTATGTTTAGTGTGGATATTGGGCTGGATTAAAGGAGAAGGTGTAGGAGAAGGGGAAAATGGAGAGCAGGGCGGCAATGAGCTGCTGCAGAGTTGGAGGTTTTCTGCAAATAAGGCATAACCACGACGAGAATCTTGAACCGCCGGAGGCTTAAATGGTTGTTTTCTGATGTCGGACAACAAGAAATAGCACCACCCCATTACGTGCTCCCCCACATTAAAATCCTAAAGTATTTTATTTGGACCCACATGAGCCGTCGTCGGTCGCCACCCCATCTTCCAGAGAAGGAGACCGGTCGCCGAATTTTTACTGGAATTGATGTCTGAACTGAAATGACATGTAATAGTAGGTCATTTATCGATTTTTGAATTTTATTGTCTCAATTTAACATGTTAAAGGGTGTAATTATACTTTTAAAAAATTTAGAAACTTAATTAACTTTTCAGATAAAATTTAGGGACTTATTTAACAATTTTTTTTTTTTTTTTTTAAAAACAATCATCTACAAGAAACTCCTTTTTTTTTTTTTTTTTTTGTCTTAGTGAACCAAACATGCCAAACTTCTCTTAACTCTCCAAGACTCCAAGTCGATTGTGATTACTATTCCTCTCTCTCTCTCTCTCTCTCTCTCTCTCTCTGTTTCTACGTTACGTGACATTAATCCAATCCACTGTCTAAATCAGAACAGGAAGTGAGGAACAACCAAGATTTGTCATTTTGTTTTCTCGGACGGGGGGATGGGGTGTTTCATACGTTTTGGCATTTCAGAATTGGCGTACGTGAGATGAGAGACAAGTGTGGGGGGTGATGATCCCTATGGTTCTTGAACTTGGAATTTGGAACATCATCAAAACCTGCAAAAATAATCGCCGGAGAATGCCAAAAAGCCCAGAAAATCCGAAAATCATACGTAGCAGAAATTAACGGAGACTTTTTTCCTTTTCCTCTCCTCAGTGGGAAGAAAGATGAGATGCTGTTCTCGGCCCCACCATTATTTCTGGGTGTCCATCAACTTTTTTTTTCCTCCTCTTCTGATTCTCTCACTATAATGTCTTCATCAGCACCTTCGCTTTCTCTCTCTATATAGACAAAAATACAGTATCACTTTTCTTCTGCTTTCTATCTTCACTGCTGTTTCTTCCATCCTCCTTGGTCTATAATGGCTGCCCCCACAACATTAGTCACACCGACTCCTAATTTTCTGTGTGTGGATAGAAGGGTCGGTGTTATTCAATCCTAAAGTAAAAAAGGTAAGGCAAAAGAATCAAACTTTATATTCAGATTAAAAAAAAATATTCATGTCTTGAGGAAATTTGTATTTCTTTGATCCCAAAAGGTGATTTTATACTTTTTGTGAAACTGTGGGTTTTGTTTGATGTTTGGGATATATATAATGCTCCAGTTTTTTTGTTCAAAGAGGAGAGAATTTTGTTATATCTTGAAGGGCTTTAGAATTTGCCATTTTAGACTTTGAAGAGAGATTTAAGGTTGAATTCTGGAGAAACAACTTTTTGTGATGAATACCATTATTGATGACATCCCTTTAAAGGGAGTGGAGTCTTATATTTTACCCAAGTTGAATATTTCACATTGCTGATGCTCTAAGCACTGTGATTTTTGTTTTTTGATTCCTTTCCAGTAAGGTAAGGCTAGAGTTCCTTGAGCTCCACTCTGTCTGGGACTTGTGGATTTGAAATAGAATCTTTTTTGGTTTTCTTGAAAGTTATACTTTGCTGCAATGTCTTCCTTGTGCATATTCCGGTTCTAAGGCTTCAATCTTTAGTTTCTGCAGATTTCCAATCAAATTTTGTGATAAGTAATCTTTCTAAAACTTTGGAGATCATTTGTGGCTTTCTTCTTCTTCTAGTGTAGCTTATGCATAATAATCCCGCTTTACCTTAAGCGAATTCTTTGATGGATGGAACTATGGAAGTTGTTCTTTGGTCTTAGACTCTTAGTTTTGGTGAGTTTTTTAGGAATTTCTCTTTGTTTTTGCATAAAAATTTGTGTTCTAGAATTGAAGTCTCTTTGTTGGAAGTGGGATTTCTTATCTTTCCATTTATTTTTGCCATTATCTCCACCTTTTGCTTTGTCTTTGAGGATTAGTTTTTTGTTTGCCTTTGTCAGCTTAATTAAACGTTGGATTCGTGATTAATGGCATATTCTGTTTTCCTCGATGCATATTTGGTGACTAAATGCATGTGCCATCTTTGCGCATTTGATTTCTTAAATTTGATGAACCTAATAAAGTCTGAAACTTTCCTCTGTACTTGATTCGTTTGATCAGGGTTTGAGTGGTCATAGCAGGAACGCAAACTTGGTACATTGAATTCGAACAATCTCCAATTATGGCAAATAAATCACCGAGATACTCTTTGCAATACAAGAAAGACCAGGCAGGTTGTATCTGGGGCTTCATTAACATCTTTGACTTCCGCAATGGTCGTTCCACTAGAAAGCTACTTGCAGATGGAAGACAAGTTAGCGGACAAGTTGGTGAGAAATCTTTGAAGAAAGCTTTAAGCTCAATTAACAACCTTGTATTTAAATTCAATTCTCTTTAGTCCTAGCTATGTGATCGTAACACACTCAATGCCCCTACCCCGACTTTGTATTTTCCAGCAGGTGCCAGTTCAAGTATGAAGCTTAAAATACCGAATCCCAGTGAGAAGAGTTTTAAGGTCAAGGTAGTGTCAACACCCCTTAACCATGGCTTTAATATGTTTTTCAATAATTTCTTTACTGTGCTGTCTGTTTTAAAGCAACTTGTTAGGAGTCTACATTGAAAAAATAAGAGAGAACACATGGGTTTATAATGCAATAGCTAATTGATTGAATTCAGTCTTTTAGTGCATTATAGCCCAGTTGAGTGACCTTGGCCCAATCTTAGATTATAACATGGTATTAGAGATTGTTCAGTCCACTTTGTGTTCACCCGTGGTATTGCTGGTATCCAAGCTTTCGTTTCAGGGTGAGTGTCCAATCCAAAGCCCTCATGTTCGGTCCACTTTGGTGGCGTCCAGAGCTTTACCATATGTTAGACTAGCTAATTGATTAAATTTTTAGGCCCTGTTTGGTAAAAAATTGGCCTATAGGCTAATTTTGGCTTATTTGACTACTATTAATTGTTTGATTTAGTTAAAATATCAATATAAATGTTTGGTTAATTAGCTTTTTGCAACTCCAAAAGGCTAAAATTCAAAAAGTTACTCCAAGCAACTTTTTCAATTAGCTTTTTGAGAAAAGAAATAATATCAAACAGCTATCAGCTAACAGCTAATTTACCAAACAGTTTTCTACCATTAGCTAATGTTATCAACTATTTATACCCTCTAATTAACACAATCAGCTAACAGCTATCAGCTAACAGCCATTTTACCAAACAGGGCCTAGTCTTTTAGTGTGGTTTGGCCCATATGCATTATAGCCTAGTTGAGTCACCTTGGTCTAATCTTAGATTATAACACAAATGTTGACCAAAATTTTTAAATTAAGCTAGTAAGTAATAAATTGGAATTAAAATCATAAATTTTCTTAAAGATCCAGGATGATGACGAAAGTGAGGCAGCAACACTCGACTCCAAGACAAGTGTAAAGGAACTCATGGAAGAAGAAATGTTTGGCGAGGCAAGCCCGAAGGATGAGAGAAACGATGTTGAAATCCAACCAGAAGCGTTTAATCCACACAAGGGGAGCCATACAAAGAGGAAATGCAAACGGACATTTAGAACTTGTGATAGGTCTAGAAGTATGTCCTTATCGGATTTGGATGATGTCAAGAACGTTGGCTCTGATGTCGATGATTTTCGAATTATGATGGAAGAGCTTGGGCAGATTCATGTAAAAACCAAAAGTTTCAGAAAGAAAGATCAAGGCCGCCCACTTCTTGAAGAAAAGTTAAGTGCAGCCATTGAGATGCTTGTAAACCAGAAGTGTAAGAACAGTAGACACTTTGAAGAAGACGAGACTGCTTATAACTCCAAAGAGTTAATGCAAATATTAAGTTCTAACAAGGAATTATGCTGGAAACTCTTACAAGATCCAAATTCTAGGCTGGTGAATCACATGGAAAGTTTAGAGGATCGAGTTGAGAAAGGGAGGAAGTCTAACTCTAGGCTGAAATCTAATTCGATGCAGAAAAATGTAGTTCATGCAAAGACAGATGAAATCGGGAATTCAAAACGAGGCCACTTTTTTCGCAGGAGAAGCAAATCTCAAGAAAGCTATCCTTTAATGGAAGATGAAAGATCCCGGCCCTCTAGCAAAATTGTAATTCTAAAACCGGGACCAGCTGGCTTGCAATTCCCAGGTTCTCCAATCGATGTTAGCTCATCAGTACACTCTCCTCATAAGTTGCAGAATGGGAAAAGCTCATCCCACTTCTCGTTCACCGAAATTAAAAGAAGGCTAAAGAAAGCCATGGGAAAAGAATGCCAAGGGATCTCTCGTGAAGAAATAGTTCATAAAAAGCACAGTGATATTGATAAAGGGACCAGTGGAGAAAATATTGGATGGAGCTCTCCCAACCGAAACCATTTTTACACCGAGAGATTTGCCAGGCCTTCCCCCATTCACTTCAAGAAAGAGAAGCCAAAAGACATTGAAGAAGCTACAATAAATGAAGCATCTAATTATCCCAAGCTCGAGATATCAGACATCTATCTTGAAGCTAAGAAACATCTCCTGGAGATGCTGGATAATGGGGAAAAAGACGAAGAGTTAATTAGCGAAAAGCTTCCTAAATCCTTAGGAAGGATCCTTTCTCTTCCCGAGTACAACACTTCTCCTAACTGCAGTCCTAGAAAGTGTACTGACTCTAACTTAGAGAGGCATTCTTCTGCTGCAGAAATCAATTCTGAACAGTACATAAAATTGGCAAATGGAAGCCTTGATATTCCACGTGAACTTAATTGTGACAATTTGTTGGGAAAAATTGTTTCTCCTACTAAAGATGAAGTGGCTGTTGAAGGTATTCTTTCCCTTTTGATTGAAGCATTTCATATTTCATTTTTATTTTGTCAATGCTCACACTTTTAACTAATCTCTCTATTCCAAATTACTCAGGGGTTCTAGATACGGAAGAACCAGCTCTAACTGGATACCCGGAGGATGGAAAAGTCTTAGATGCATCTTGTAAACCAATTAGTTTTTCAATTACTATAGACAGTGGAAGTGCTGATGTTACGGAAGCCTCCTCCCCGAGCTTGAAACTGGCATCTGAATGCTTATCAGTAAGTAGTGTTGGCTTTACTTCCTTTGTTTTTTTGTTTTTTTTTGGGTGAAAAGGGAAACCCGCAGCCACTACCCAAGGGTGTTTACTGGCTAATGGGTAAACCCCGCCTTGTGACCCTAGCCGGCAAAGGACCACAAGGAGGTAAACCAGCCTAGGTTGTCAATAGCTGACTTGCTCAAACCAAGAAGGTTGAGATTCGAACCCTTGACCTTGTGGTTACAGGTTTGTATGCTTAGCCATCTTGGTTGGGGGCGCCCAAGGGTGTGTACTGGGTAAACCCCGTCTTGTGACCCTAGTTGGCAAAGGACCACAAGGAGGTAAACCAGCCTAGGTTGCCCATAGCTGACTTGCTCAAACCAAGAAGGTTGAGATTCGAACCCATAACTGGGTTTGTATGCTTAGCCATCTAGCTTTACTTCCTTTGTGTTTGTATATATGGTAAGCATTAGCAATCTAAAGAACTTATGGCCTTGTGTTTTTACTTGTTAGGATTCATATGGGGCAAAAGAAGCTTTTTCTCTGCACTCATCTGACGCTAGAAAAGTTGAATATCGTGAGAATAATGTGATGGATAGAATGGAGCAACCTAGTCCCGTTTCTGTGCTTGAGCCATTATTTCCCGAGAATGACATCAATCCTGCAATCACAGGTTAGATTGTTTTAGCGTTTGGTAAATTTTGTCACTAGTCATCATCGATCCTTTTATATTTTGAGCTTTCCTATACAAATTAGTCTCTATGTGCCTGCAGTTGAACTCGAAATTCAACCTCAGAAACTCAATTTTGAGGAACCCACAGCAACTTCTCTTGACCAACAACTTTATACACTGACTTTTCTGGAAAATGAGGAATCTGCGTTTGAATACGTAGAGGCAGTACTGCTAGGTTCAGGGTTGAATTGGGACGAATTTCTTTTAAGCTGGCTTTCCTCAGATCAGATTCTTGACCCATCACTGTTTGATGAAGTAGATTTACTTTCTGATTGCTCCTGTCGAAAGCTCCTTTTCGATTCTACTAACCAAGTCCTTACTGAGGCATGTGACCGCTATTTTGGCTGCTTCCCCGTTAAACACAACCTTCGGCCACTCCCAAAGGGGATGGACTTAATCAATGAGGTATGGATAGGGATTGAATGGTATCTTCTCAAGACTCCACCGCCTCATTCTTTGGATCAACTCGTCGAAAAAGATATGGGAAGGCCCACCGCGCCATGGATGGATCTTAAATCTGATGTCCAAGACATTGGCATTACAATCGAAGCAGCTATTTTTGAGGAGTTGATGGGGGAAACTCTTTCGAGCTTTGCAAACCACACTTCAGAGAGTGAAATTGAGATTAGCATTAATTAGCCAAGAAAAAGCAAAGAAGAGTGAAATTGACCTTTAGCCGGTATGCAATGTAAAGTTCACGTGATAACTTTTCAAGCCAAAACTTCATGCTCCCATGACAGGAACAATGGGCATCTGCTTCATAAATATTTGGCACACGGTCCATTCGAGCAAGCAGGATCACGAAAACTTCACTGACTTCCTGCTGGTCATATAGTGATAAAGGTAAAGGGGTTCTCATAACAGTGCAGAATTTGTAGGTTCTGGTCTGCTGTGTGGTATTTTCAGTTGTTCTGATAGATTTTGATTTTTCTCCTATTTTCTGGGTTTAGGGGGGAAGTTCTCACTTGTTTGACATAGACAGGCTTCTTTTCTTTTATTTTCTTATAAACTTTACCATTGTTGAAAAAATCGCTAGGCGCCCTCTAGGCGTCTGGGGACCGCCTAGGGCGCCTAGCGTCTAGGCGTCGATTAATCAGCGCCTAGGCGCGATTTTTGCAACAGTGAACTTTATAGATGTAATTACATAGCAGTTGTAACTGAGAATTAAAAAAAAAAAAAAGCAGAAATAAGCAAATATTGCAGACAGATATGCAAACGTGCTAGACATGGAAACTTTGGCCTCTTATGGCCCACAAAAGACAAACTAGTATAGGTACTCACAAAATGCTCACCACATTATGACTTCAGTTTTGGTCCCCTGACTATTGAACTTGAGTTAATTGCAACTTCTGACTTTCAAAAGTGTTAATTTAGTACTTTAATTATGTATTTTTTATCAATTTTGGTCACACCGACCAAATATAACCGAAAATTTTTAAATATAATTGGAAAGAGGTAAATTCATCATTTCTTATTCACTTCAATTTGGGAAAGCGATTGAAACCAAATCATCGAGGTTATTTCTAAGTATGATTTAGAAGGGTTAATCACTCTCAAATTATGGAACTATGGTTGATCTGTACACAAAAATGAAAAGCAAAGGAGAAATTGAATGAATGCAAGATATGATACAGAGAAATTTAATAGATCGAATTGAAACAAGTTATATTAATCTCTCAATATCTATAGTAGAATACTGCAGATTCGGATCCATTTTCTAAACTTACACAGAGCAGAAGATTCATGGAAGAAGAATATACATCCAACTAAATCAAAGATTCAATAAAGGAAGTTCTATATCTACAAAGAAATTTAGGAATTATTTATTTATTTTTAATTTTGTGAATTAATTTGGGATTTGAATTCAATATCCCTCACAAACGGGTGTTGCAGAAGTTGTTGCGTGCTCCATCTTTTACTGGATTCCTTCTGCAAACAGGAATCTATAAAGTCCTTGAACTCCAGTGAAGCTCCGTCCGGCAAGCTAGGTGGTTTGCAGAAACATATGGTGCACATTAGGTTTGCCGGCTTCAGATCACCTATATATATTTTGGTCAACAATCGCTTTCCCAAATCGGAGTGAACAAAAAATGACGAATTTACCCTTCCAATTATGTTTAATTGTTGATTTAAAATTTTCTGGTCACATTTGACCGGTAATTTGGCCGGCGTGATCAAAATTGATAAAAAATGCATAGTCAAGGTACTAAATTAACACTTTTGAAAGTCATTGGTTGCAATTAACACAAGTTCAATAGTCAATGGATCAAAATTGAAATTTACTCTATTATAAAGTGGCCCCGTTCTTTTAAAAAAAAAAAAATGTGGCCATGTTTGGTAAATGGTTGTTAGCTGATTGGGTTAATTAGAGGGTATAACTAGTTGATAACATTAACTGATTGTAGAAAGGTATTTGGTAAATTAGCTATTAGCTGATAGTTGTTTGGTATAATTTCTTTTCTCAAAAAGTTAGTTGAAAAAGTTCCATTGAGTAGCTTTTTGAATTTTAACATTTTGGAGTACAAAAAGTTAATTAACCAAACACTTATATTGATTTTTAAAACAAGTCAAACAACTAATAGTGATCAAATAAGCCAAAATTAACCTATAGATTAACTATTTTACCAAACAGGCCAGTATGCTTTTGTCTATAATTTACCACTTAAAAATTAACAGAGTTGTCCGTACCGGGGAACAACAGCACCTAGGGCTGGGCGCCTGGGCGTTGTCCGTACCGGGGAACAACAGCACCTAGGGCTGGGCGCCGGGGCATTTCGGTTCAGTCTCAAACCACTTAAAAATTAACAGAGTTGTCCGTACCGGGGAACAACAGCACCTAGGGTTGGGCGCCTGGGCATTTCGATTCAGTCTCAAACCATTGTCCGTACCGGGGAACAACAGCACCTAGGGCTGGGCACCTGGGCATTTCGGTTCAGTATTGGTAGAGAATATCCCGACCGCCATAGCTCTACCACGACCGAAGTGCCTTTGTCTTTGTCTTTTTGTCTTTGCAGGTAGCAGGTCGGGCTTTTTATGAAGAACCCGGTCGGCCAGCTACCGGGAATTGCCCAAGCGGTAGTGTCGACCACCGAGCGGTAGCCCTTTGGCGAGGGAGCTGATAAAGGACACGTGGCGGCTCTATGTGGCGACAGATAGGGCACCCAGGAGGATGACACGTGGTGGCTACGTGGAGAGCATGCCGAATGACCGGATTTGTGTCTCCGGCGCAGTGGCTATAAATACCCACAGTAGCTACAGTGTAGAGGACTTTTGGACGATCGATAGGTTGTTATTAGAGAATCCCGACCGCAGTCAGTCGGCACTCAGAGCAACCAAGTAGATTGTACTTAGGGCCTCTACCGTGATCAATAAAGATATTTACTTGCTTTAGTTGGTCTCGGGTATTATTTAAATATTGCTTACGTAGAATTAGCAGTATCATTTTGGCGCCGTCCGTGGGGACCCGTGCAAGAAAGCAACGTCTTGACGAGCACTCGGTTCCTTTGCAACGATGTATCCGTGGGCATACAACAATTTCGCCGACGATCAGGTGGATGCAGCGAGTTCATCCGATCACCACGCTACCCAACAGCAAGGTCAGACGGTGGACTTAAACCTTAATCTGTCACCACCACATCCATCCAACACATACCCGGCTGCCCAACAGCCGGTGAACTACATTCAACCGGGATACCCAACACCCGGTCAGCCGCATCAACAACAGCCGGTGATGTATCCCGGTCAGTATCCGTACCCGGTCCCACCTCCGCCGTATGGGTACTGGCCTGGCCAACCGATGTACTACACTCCCCCGGTTGGATATCCACCATATACGCCTGCGTACACGGCTCCAGCCGCCGCCCCTCCAGTTTACCCGACCGCACAGGTAGAGCCGCAGCGTCAGTCCGCTTCCCGGGCTCGACGCTCGGCTCGTTCGCGGTTGGGGTCGGGGGGTGCTGATGCGATGGAGGCACCATGGCAGGCCCAGCAAGCGGCTGAGGTTCCCGCCCAAGCGGAGGACCCCGAGGAAGTTGCCCGAGCGGCAGCTTTTGATCGTCTTCGACCGGAGATGCGGCAGCGTTTGGGGCCCCAAGACCCGAACCGTCAGCCGGAAGACATGCACATGCAGGAAGCCAGCCAGGAGGCTTCATCTAGGTATAGCGGGTCGAGATCTCACCGACGGCGACGCGCTCGGGATACAGCCCAAGCTGCCCAAGCCGCCGAGCTCAACGAGACCCGAGGATTGCTCTACAACCTCCAAGCGGAGTTTGCGCAATTCAGAAACGCGCACCCTGCAGCAACCCCGGTCGACCAATCGGCCCTACACCAGACGCCTTTCACAGCGGCGGTGATGGCTCAGCCTTACCCGCTTGATTTAAAGGTCTCTGGAGAGAAAAGTTATGGTGGCCGGACAGACCCCGAGGCTCACGTCAACGACTTCTACAGCAATATGATGTTGAAGGGCGTGTCAGACGCTGTAATGTGTAGGGCTTTTTATTCCACGCTCACCGGCCGGGCGGCGGAATGGTTCCGAACCTTGCAGCTGGGTTCGATCGACAAGTCTGACACCTTGGCGATCAAGTTTGTGAGGAAGTTCATCACTTCCAAAGTGGTGAGGAAGCCCTATATGTATCTGGAGAAGGCCAAGCAACTTGAAGGCGAGAGCTTGACCGACTTCCTCATCAAGTGGAAGGCGGCGGTCGGGGAGGTTGAGCCCATGGATGATGCGACCGCCACTCACATGTTACACATCTCTCTCCGGGCGGGGTATTTATATCAAGATTTCATTTTACACCCCCCGGCCACGTATGAGGAGGCCTTTCGAAGGGTCACAGATTATGCCAACGCCGGCGAGGCGAACGCTGTAAAACGCTCGCAGGAGGTCGGGTCATCGTCCCGTAAACCAGCCGGGCGGGCGGAACACCGATCGGGTGACGACCATCCCCGATCCCGCACCAGGCCTGGTGAGTTTACGGCCTTGAACCGATCCGCAGCGGAGGCCATGCAGTACGCCCAGTCCTGCAATCTCATCAAACTCCCCCATCCCGATCGAGACGGCCCCGACAAGAGTAAGCATTGCGCTTACCATCGATGTGCCGGGCATGACACTGAAGAGTGTACCCACTTGCGCCAACTGTTGGAGGATTTGCTCAATCTTGGGAAGTTGGACAAGTGTGTGGGGAGGAGAGAAGACCCCAAGAGGAATACCGATCGGAGAGATCACCGGCGCTCCTATCACCGTTCCGATCGTTCTAATCGCGAGGAACGCTCCGATCGGACAGGTCAGGACCGAAGAGACGATCGAAGAGATGATCGTCGTGATGACTGACGGGACCCTGACCCTCCGTCTAGCAACCGACCAGCAGGAAAGCCGACCATCCACGTTATTTTCGGTGGATTGGAAGACGCTTCCCGACCGCGGAGTAATTGCCCGGTCGCCGTAGTGGATTCCCGAGAGACCGGGAAGAGGCAGAAGATGGAGCCCATAACCTTCACCCTGGAAGATCAACCCAGCAGCGGCGACCACGTCATGGAGGCGCTCGTGGTCATGATTGATGTCAAAGGGACGGATGTCCAGAGGGTTATGGTAGACACGGGCAGCAGTGTTAACGTCCTTTATTTGGACGTGTTTGAGAAACTTGGCCTTGACAGGAAGGAGCTGACTCCGGTCGGTGTACCACTGTCGGGTTTTACCGGGGCTCTTATTTACCCCGAGGGAAAGATAACGCTCCCAGTTGAGATCGGCACACCTCCGAAGTCGATCAAGACGGAGCTGGAATTTGTTGTGGTCAACCTCCATTGCGTCCACAACATTATCCTGGGCCGACCCGCCATTATGAAGATCGGTGGGATAATTTCCATGCCCCACTTGTGCATGAAATTCCCCACCCCTAATGGGGTCGGTGTAGTCCGCGGCGACGTCCAATCCGCCCGGAAGTGTTACAACCGAGCGGTTAACAGACGTGATTCCGGTTCGTCTTCCCGGGTGAACACCATAGCCAAAGAGGAGGCTAA